CGAATATTCTAGAAATATATAGACAGGAAATATGAAATATTAATAAACTTTTTATAAAAACAATGTGAATTTGATATTTCAAGTTACCTGATAAGTTTCTAAATCATAAATCTTTTACAAGAGTTAATCGATCTTGTTCGGATCCAGGCCACCTTATATAATTTACACAAACCTTAATATCTCCGCCTTGAGTACCACAGAATAATAAATCTTCATGCAACGCAAGAGTTAGAACGCCAGCATCTGTGCCTTTTAGGATTTGTAAGAGGTTCGTTGAATTCTTCTCAATAGACCAAATCTAATAGTGTAATGTAAACACACATTCAATTTATGATAATTTAAACGACTAACGCGTTAATGATTTCTAGATATACCTTCACATCACCATCACCAGATCCTACAAGAACAAAATTATATCTTTAAGAAAATACAAAATTTTCATTTTAAAAAAATTTATTATATAAATCTAAACACATACCACTAACCAAAACTTCACCATCCTTATTTTTTCCTAATAATAAAGCATACACATATCCGTTATGACTATTCCAATGCACCATTGTTTCATCAATTTCGTATCTTGGAATATCATTATCATTAACATCATCTTCATGCTTGGGAATATAACTAATTTCAGTATAAACAGTAGTGGTCTCAGCTTCTTCGTTTTCACTTGAACATTTGTTTCCACTTGAGCATTTGTTTTCACTTGAACATTTAACCGGCAAAGCACCAAAGAATTTGGAACATTTACATGTATTTAACGAATGTAAAGTTCTGTATTTTTCCTTATTAGACAGATCAAATTGCTAACAATTTGAATAAATAAATTTGAATCATAATTGATTTAAATTCGAATGCGAGTTGATGAAAATCGTTTAAAACCTTACTTGTATACTGGTATTTTGACACCCAATATATAAAGTTTCCAAAGAATCGGAATAAACTACCGAAAACAGATCTCCTACATCATGACTTGATTGTATCACATAAAGGCAATTCAGCGTTTCTGTATCCCAAACCTATTATCATTTTAAGGAAAAAAAAAATTAATTTATCAAAAAAAAAGAACAAAATTTACTTCGAGCCTAGAACTAAATAATTTCAATACATACCCGAACTGTTCCGTCACCTATTTGATTGTAATTTGTGAATTTAATATACGTATATTTTTCATTTGTGATAATGAATAAATTCAGACAGATAGCTCTAGCTTACCGGAGGAACTAAATAACATGGTATAATCTCCTGATAGATTCAAGCACAATACACCGCCTGTGTGCCCTCTCAAAGTCTTTATCTGCTGGAAGGTAGATAAGTCCCATACCTCAAAAAAAGAACCCAAAAATTAAATAACAAATCAAATTAAAAATGTAATAAATTGACATGTAATGAAACCTGAAATGATTTTACAGAACAGCCATACATACTCGAATGTAAGGATCTTGAGAGCCGCTAAATAAATATTTATAACTACATACTAAGGAAAGTGCAGAATTGTCACCGAGAGTTATTGTATGGCTTGGTTTTGTATGCTGAATTTCGATCTTTTGTGGAATTCGATTTAAACTACCTGAAATTTGATTTCAAAAGTGTAAATCTTTGCAAACTCAAAAAAAAAAAAAAGCTTTAGATCTTGAAAAGCATTTACGTAAAGGAGTAGGACTATTGGTTCTTTGTATTACTTCATATTTTGCATCAAAATTTTCGTTTATTGTCTTTTCAATCGGTTTCGAAGTAAGTAAAGACTGATTGAAATTAATAGAAGAATATTGCTGCATAATCAAACTGGCATAATCAAACTGATATAATCACAAGGACACAAGGACGCGTTTATAAATTGAATGATTTATAATTCGTCATCTAGCGCGCTATGTCCGAACTGTCATATGATGATTATCGTATTACAACATCGCTGTTGGATTATGTGGCCAAAATCGGCTGGCTTACTGAACGAAAATACTTTGAGTAAGCAACAAGACGAAAAATCACATGTTCTCCATAAAATGAATTACTAATTAAAATCACATCGATATATATTTAGATTTATAAAATTCTCTTTAATGAAACCGATCATTTTACTGTATTAAAGGCGTTGTCCGTAAAATTGACATATTAAGAAATTTTTTATGACGGTAATCTATAACAAAAATTCCCGGTCTTATCAAGAAGGGTCGTGCAGTCAATTGACGAGTATAATACCTTAAATTGGTCTTATAGCGCATTTAGATAGAATATTTTGACTAAGTAATCAAACAAATCAATTGTAAATAATATTGTGTAGTACAATCCTGAAAATACAACTCACTTCGTTATAGTGAGGAATTTTTGAATTCCGGAATTATTTTAAACTCCCAACTCGATATAGTGAAATATCTATATATAATGTATTCTCTTGATATAAGTTATAGTGAAGTTTTTTTTTCAGCCCGGGGATTTCACTATAACTAGAATAAGTTGTTTAATAGAATGAGGCTATTTTGTAAATTAACAATTATATTTGAATAATTTTCATACTGATCTTTTTTAATTAAAAGAAATCAAATAATCAAATAGCATAAAAATTAGGGGAATTTACAAATAAGGGCCCAAAAAGGTAAAATAATTACATATCAGGGCCCTATTTTAGAATATTTTACTATATCTCATGATACAGTGAATAAAATTTAATGATTTTGATACCATTCGAATCGTCTCGTCAAGACGGATCAAATGGTACTAAAATTGCTAAATTTAAATTACTGGATAACGAGATATCACGATTTAAACAGATTTTAGAAAATATTGAATAGCTCGTAATCCAATAATTTAGATTTAACAATTTTAGTACCTTTCGATCCGTCTTAACGAGACGATTCGAATGGTATCAAAATCATTAAATTTCTTTTACTGTATCATGAGATATAATAAAATTTTCTAAAATAGGTAATTATTTTACTTTTTTGGGCCCTTATTTGTAAATTCCCCTAAAAATTATCCTCCAACTATTAACTCACATAATATCTCAATTAATCGCAATATAGTATATTCTTTTCAAAAATAAAGATAGATACTATTAACCTTTTCAAAATAGATATACAGTCAGACTCTAAATATATTTAGTATTTAAATTTCGGAAAACAATTTTTAAATTTTTTTTTTACATTGTACAAGTGCAGAAATATAATTAAAGACAATAAATTATTTAGTTTTCTTTATTTGCTTTAAAAAGTGCAGAAAGATAAAAAAAAAACTATTCTTTATTTACCAACGTTTTGCGATAATTATGCGTTAGCGGTCATTCTTTTTACGTACGTACATGTAATTCTTAATCTGTATTTCAAATTTATTCGTAGCTGCCGTCATGAAAATGATCTATTTTTACATTTCGTCGATTTCTTTTTATTCATTATACAGAAGTTACTTGAAAATCGTATTTTTATACTGACGAGATAATTGGATAATTTTTCTGTTGATATATTGCGAACTCTATAATTGCAAATAAAAATTTCTAACATAGTTATTAGGATTTTGTATCGCACATTTTCAATATCAAACTTTGTTTCATTTCAATATTATTTGTCGGGGATGATGCTGAAATTTCGAGCTATTTTATTATGAAATTTTAAAAAATTTTCGGGCCTTTTTTTTTAGGGTTTTTTTAGGGTTTAGGGCTAGCGTTGTTAGTAAAAATGTATATGTGAATTTTAGTAGGTATTATAGATTTAATTGGGGACTCTAAATTTCAGCATCAGCCAATTTCAGCATCATCCCCGACATTATTTTTACTACAGTATCATATTAATAATGGGCCATAAATCTTCAGTTTAGAACATTTGTTCAAAATAATTAATTTGAAATTTTCATAAAGAATTTATATTAATAATTAATGATTATTGGAGATTTCAGATCAGTGTTTAAAATTCAAAAAAAAAAAATCACTTGCACTTAAAAAGCTTTACATATGGGCCAATTGGAGTATATTGGGCCCCGAATAGAGTCACTAAATTTAGGTTAAACCCCTTATTTAATTTTTTTTTGATTGGTCTGATGAATTATTAGGGTTATTGTTTTGATTTATTGAGGGTTTATTCTGCATCAAACCCATTAGATTATCGTCTAATTACTAGCCTGAGCATATTGAAACACGCCGTTTGGCATTGTTATGTAGTGTTAAAAATAAACCTTCACCTCAAAAATAATATAATTAATTGTCTAATGAGCTGTCTGTCAAATAATTGCATTGGTACGGAGTTCTCTCCTCTACATAGAGATTACATATTGGCCCATATGACCTGCACACTTAAGAGATTTTTTAAAAATCCAAAAAAAAAAAAAAACACTTGCACATGTGCATCTTGTGCAAGCCAATTTTAAACCCTGGATCAGATTAACCTGTCCCAGATTTTTGTACGGACGAATAATAATAATGCATTTACCTAGACATGCGATGTCAGAATTAGTGCTCCGATCGGGTTAACCCGAACAACCCGAAACCAACCCGGTTATAGCAAATCTATTAGATGGGTCATGACCCATATAGTAAATCTATTATAATCGGGTTGGTTTCGGGTTGTTCGGGTCAACCCGATCGGAGCACTAGTCAGAATTGATTGATAAATTTTATACTCTAAACTAAGTTCTACAAAGTTATTTTTTAAATAGCGATTGACTTACATAAAAACATTTTTCAGAAAAACTACTATAACTTTGTAAGGCTTGATTTTTTTTTAAAAAAAAAGTTATAATAATTGGAAAAATCTCGATGTTGCACCTCTAATTTTACAATTCGGCAGATTTATGGAATTTGACTTTATTTAAATCCATTAAATTTACAAGATCCAATTTTAAGAATCAGCTATCTAATACTAAAATGCTATTATCTGAATCCAAAAATGAGTAATGCCAAAGAGAAAACGGACTATCCAAGTTCCCTAAATCTATATGATCCAATTTTACAAATCTGCTACATAATATTAAAATATTGAAATCGAAATCAAAATGAGTAATACCAAGAGAGATGGTTTTCTCTTGGTATTGATTTTTTAGCATGGGGGTGGGTGCCAAATATCATGCTAATAGATCATGCGTATATATAATCGTAATCATACCATTTGAGGGAGGGCTGAAAATTGTTGCGCATACATGAATAGTACATTGTGTTCACAATATTTATATACTTTAATGTGTCACCAAATCGGTTAAAAAGATCTGAATTGAATTTTAACCTAACGGGAGATTTAGAATTAATAACTTCTTACATACAATGAAAAAATTTTCAAAATTTGTCAATAATTTTGTTACAAAGAGTCAGTCCAATGTTATTGAAAGTCAGTCCAATGTTATTGAGAGTCAGTCCAATGTTATTGAGAGTCAGTCCAATGTTATTGAGGGGCAGTCCAATGATATTGTTTTACCGACTGCGTGGGATATTGAAGACAAATCACCATTTATTGACATGGATTCAAGTGGACTTAAAGTAACATATACAGGTAAGATAAAATGAGAAATCTTATTTAGTGTGCTACTGTAATCATTGGCATTTAAAAAAATATCACCATAGCTTTTTTAACCTATTAAAAACCTTTTAACGATAATTAAAGATCCTGATGACTTTAAAGCTGTTATAATTCGAGCAAACCATCCAATCCCTTCACAATGTGAGATATTTTACTTTGAAATTAAAATTATAAATAAAGGAAAAAATGGGTAATGTTATTAATAATTATTTCGTGTCGTAAACATTATCTTTGTTCTTGTAATCTTACTTTTAATCCTATTTCTTGATAGAGCGATTGGAGTCGGATGTTGCACGAAGCAAAGCGATAAAACAATGGCGATAGGTGATTCTGACTATATAAATGATATGCTCTTGCCAGGTAATAGCAAATTTTTATTTGATTTTCTTATCATTACAGATTAACATATATAAAATATCCTTTAGGACAGGAATATAAGAAAAATAAGGAAAATAAGGAAAAAGAAGACGAGAAAAATGAAAATAAGGGAAAAGAAGACGAGAAAAATGAAAATAAGGAAAAAGAAGACGAGAAATATGAAAAAAATGAGGAAAATGAATCATGGGGGTGTGGTTACCATGGTGACGATGGATATTCGTTTTGTTATGGAAGCTGCGAGCCATATGGGCACCCATATACTACTGGTGACACAATTGGATGCTATTTAAATTTTAGAAATAAGATGGTATTTTACACTAAAAATGGAGTAAACCTAGGTAAAACCATCAATATATTTTGGGAATGCCTATTTCCACCATTGGCCGTAATTTATCATAACAATGTTCGTCATGCAATATATGGCTAAAAGTCATGTGAAAAACATGGTGGAAATAGCAAATTTCCATGGTGGAAATAGGCGCTCCCTATATTTTTTCTTTTTAATTAATTAATCAATTAATAAGATTTAATATTTTGCTATATTTCAAGGAATTGCGTGCTATTTACCCGATGGTTTAAAAAATAATTTGTATCCTTGCATTGGACTTAGATCACAAGATGCATCTATAGAAGCGAATTTTGGTCATAAGAAATTTGAATATTTAGGTATATTTGTTTTGCATTTAAATTATTGTTTTTTACGCATATTTACAATTTTTAAATATAGAAATGGCTTAAAACTTTTGATCTATATGTAGATGAATTAAATAAATCATTAGAAAAGAAGAAAAGCAATGTACTTGAATTAAGCCATCGAGGAAATCTATTTTTCCTTATGGGCGAATGTGATAAAACGCTTGAAGATTTAAATAAACTGCTAAAAAATGAGCCAGATAATATGATAG